TACAAAAGAGACAGAGAGAGAACATAGTATTATGTTATGTTATGATAGTTTGCAAGTGGCAATCTATCAGGTTAAAGGAGTACTTTAATAGCAAAACAAAAATTAAAGATTACCATTGCTCCATTTAGCAGTTGTAAAAGCCAGGATGCACCACATAAGATGCTAATGTGTTTTCTGGTAATCATTATGCAAGGGTTGTGTCCATACTGCATATATATTATTATTAAATAAATACTTATTTAGCACCTGTTATGTGTCAGTCTCAACTTGAAATGCTAGAATATACTAAAGACATACAAAAGCTGTGTCTCTGAAACTTCTGTTTTAGTGACAGAGGACTTAATGTGTAAATAATTACAATGGTTAGTACCAGAGATAAATAAAATGAGATGCGGAATAGGAATTTGAGGAACTGGTGGTTGTCTCCATTTAACTGGTTTATACAGGGAAGTTCTTGGCAGAGAGAAAGGATGAGAACAATGATCAAAAGTCATGAGAAGTGAACCATGAAGATCTCTACACATTATAGCAGACCAGGCAGAATCACCTGTGATCGTAAAGGCCCTGGTACAGGAAGGTATTCAAACAACTATAATAGGCCAGTTTTTGAGAAAGAAAAGAATAATTTCAAATAGAAAATAGTTTTGTATCTACTTGAAAGATAAATTGAAAAGGTCATTGCTCTTTCATGCACACATATTTTATTTATGTGCTCATACTTGTATGCATGCCATTGACTTATCATTTAAAATAATGTTATACACATAGCAAAATTTCTATATCTCTCAAAGACCATGAACGCTAAAAGAATACAAATGTAAAATAGCTCTTCTTTCCATCAAACTTCTTTAAAGTATGATTAAAATATTTTCTTGATATATTTTCCTACAACTTTTTTTAAAGAAAAGAAACATTATAGAAAAATTTTAGAGAATTTCATCATAGTTTCTTATTTGATCCAAGTTTGGAGAATTCCAGAAAGTATGGCAGTATTGAAGAAAAAAATGGATTTTAGAGAACTGGAGAGAATACTCAGGTGACGGTCATATCCTAGAGAGAATGAGGCACACTGTAAAACTTCAGAGCATGGTGCTATCATTTTACATTTTAGGGTCATAATGCTAGGTGGTGGTTGAAAATTTGGAATAAAGTCTTTCATATTATTAAATTCTATTTTACTGGAAAATGTTTTAAAAATACAGTTTTTCCCACCTATTATAGGGGCATAAAAGGCAAGAAGCACACAGGGAAATAGTCATCCTCTGGGAAATTTCTGACCATACTTTTTGGACATTATGCCAAAGAAGAAAACTGTTGCTAGTGCTGGGGGTATTGCTGATCTTCAAATAAATGCATCAGCTTGAGTTCTTTCTAGCACTACAAGACCTTATTGTTTATTGTAACGAGAGCCAGAACAGCCAGCATGGAATAGCACTGTAGCTGTCAGCAAGGATCTTACACATACGTGGAACTTTGTCATCAGATAAGGCTTATGAAACCAAAGCACACTTAGCATTCTAATACAAAAATGGGGTAATGCTAGCTACCATAGCTACCAAAGCATTTGGTTACAAGGTCTGTGGACAGACAAGATAGCACTACTCCAGTCAAAGAGGTAAATGTACACTTATCCTGAGGTGGATACAATTTTTTTCTGATTTGAAGCAAGCAAGAACAGAAAAAATAATGAAACAGAAACACATGGAAGGCTGGGAGTTACACTGCAAGTAAATAGGTACTGGAAAGTCGTGTCTCTGTGTAATGATGATATCTTGCTCTAGATCTGCTTCTGTGTCAACCCTCTACATTTCGATAAATGCAGGGACACACAATTTTCCTCAAAGAGAAAAATATATAGGGCTTTCAGTTTCCGTGACCTTTTACTGCATCCTAGGAAACTTCGTGGGACTGTTTGAACATAAGGAAACCAGGATTGATAGGACTGAGCAGCCTTTGAGCAAGCTTCTTAACTCACTCCTTGAACTTCTGATGCCCAGCTGTAAAAAGCAAAGCAAGAACAAAAGCAGAAAAATAATATGTGGGTCTTAGCAACCAATTGCTTCTGGGAAGAGGAGAGGTAGTCTTGGAGAGACTCACACCGAAGGTCATTTGGGGACAAAAATTTGATGCCATAAGCCTGTGTATGTAGGCTTATAGTATCATATTATATATAGTATATATAGTACATATATATAAATATATATAATAGAGTACATGAAATTGAGTGGGGGTAGTAAGGAGATGCAGATAGGGGAGGGGTCTAAATATATTGTATGGAATTCACAAAAATTCTACCAAAGAAGGAAAAAAAGTGGCTCTTTTTAGGACTCAGTAACATAATTATGATATTGTAGAAGTACAATAAAGATGATATGTATTGATACTGTTCTTTAATGACCAACCATTAAAATTATTTAGCACTTCATTCTAATATTATCATGACTCTGTTCTATCTACTTCACAAGGGTTATGTCATCATTGTAAAGACACAAGTCTCTCTTCCCATTCTGTTAGAAGGTCCTCAATAGTCTACAGAACCACTTAACCTCTGATGAGCTAGAAAGCAAGCCTCTAAGCTGGCATAAACACCACAGAACCAGACACCAGGTGAAGATCTAAAAACGGCCAGTTGATAATCCATTGGCAGAGTGATTACTTTGCCATTCTGACAAGGCCCAGGTGTGAAAACTATCAGAGAGGTTTTATCAGCTCATCCTCAGCAAAACTTTCCAGTCAGGGTCTCTGGTATTCCTTCTTCCTTGCTGCTAAGCCTTCTGTAGATACTACCAACTCCCAGTATATTTAAGATGCTGGTTTAGATACAATGGCATTTATGTCTCTGAGAGAACTCAAGCAAGGTTCTTTCTGCTGCTTTACTAATGTATCTGTGACACAGAAACAGCAATCTCATAATATATTGTCGTTCACGGACTGAATTATTAGACCACTGTAAGAGGGCCCATATAATCCTGTGATCAGTTCCTTGGGAGAATTGTGTTTGACAGGAGAAGCAGAATGTTTATCATTTACCTTCTAAAGGTTGCATCTAGAAGCAGGATTTGGTTCTGGCAAAATCAAACCAAAACAAAACCCTTAGATTTGGAAGGCTTGACTAGGAGCCTAGTAAACTTTCTAAGGTAACAGTGAAGGCAGCATCTGGAATCGCTGCTTACCAAAGAAGCACAGATGCATATTGCCTCTCAGATGCTCTCACTCCTAGAAAGCGTGACACAGAGAGCAGGGACTTCAATAAAACCTGCTAGATGAAGGAATGAAAAACATGAGAACTTTTTGCTTCAAAGACTTTTCCACAGTCCTTCGTTGCTGGTTTTAATATCCAAAACTAGTTTCTAAACTCCCTTCTAAACCTAGTAAAGAGGGACTATTGCCTTTTATAAAAAGGAAGTCCAAACTGAGAAGAGCACAGCATATCATTAAGGACATTGACAGATAAAATAGTAGTACCAGAGACTGTGTCAAGAGTAAGTAAGGAAAAGGAGAGAGGAGAGAGAGGGAGAGAGGAGAGAGAGAGAGAGAGAGAGAGAGAGAGAGAGAGATGTTTTGAGACAGCAGTGCATTACTGCTACAGACACAGTGACAGTGTTGGAATATTGGTGGCACCACACTGACGGATATGGTTGCTGAGGTGCGAATAGAAGCACATTTTAGAAAAGAACTTATATTCAAAGATTTTGAATGCCTAGGCTTCTCCTAAGGTTTTGGGAGAGGGTTCTTGAAACTTAACTTTATTAGCTTTAACCTAAGTTAGCCTGTGCTTATGAGACAAATGATGTATCAAAGGATCTGGAGTTTGTGTGTGTGTGTGTGTGTGAGAGAGAGAGAGAGAGAGAGAGAGAGAGAGAGAGAGAGAGGAACAATTTTAAAATTTAATAACTGCTAACATTTCTAGGAGTTGGCTTTCTGAGTGCACACTTTAGAGAAGGTGGCAGGGACACTTTACAATTTCCAGTGCTCACACACCTGTGTCAGCCATTCAGCAACCCCTTCATGTTCCTCTGACAGCAATTACTACTGTTCTCCTGTGTTCTAGTAATCAATGTATCATCTTAGTTTATTGCAGCAATAATAATATGTACCGCCACTACAATTATAAAGGAAAAGATTGTATTTATTACCTATAATGTATCAGGGATTCTTTGATTTCTTATACTATAAAATCTTCCTAAAGTCTATGAAATGATATGTTTTTATCTTAATTTATATACCAAAATATAGCATTTGCAAAGTTAATTTGCTAAGACTGTTGAAGTCATATGTGAGCATTCTGAAAGATTAGCTCAAGTCTTATCTCCAAATTCTGTATGTTTTTAATTTCACTGGTTGTGTCAGATGAATGCCTATTAGAGGAATTTACCATTTACAACAGGCAAGTCAGAGTGATTATTTTCATGTTGTTTGATTTAATTGACTGAATACCTTTTTTGCATGGATGTAGAGTAAATATAGGATTTCCCACCCCCCCAGGACCCATGCAGTGAATTCCGCGCACTGATGAAAAGTGGGAAACTATTCTGTTCCCAAGATAAAAAACTTCAAAGCGCCGTTGAAGCCAAGTTCATCAATAAATGTACCGCGTGTAAAATGATGTTGTGAGTAAAGGTCCTGTTTTTTTTTTTTTCGAGTGCTTTAATTACCAGCTGGACTTGGGAGTTTTGAGTACATAATTATTTTCTTCTTTATGTTTCTCTAAACCAGAAGGAGTAAGTATTTATGCTTACCAAACCATTCTGATAACCTGGTTCATCAAATGAACCTGGATAAATGCCACCCACTTAGAAAAATTTAAAGATCACTTCGTTGGGTTTCAAAGGCCATTCAGGGAGCCTCGTGCTAATATATTGCACAGCATTCTCTGGTTTACTCAGAATGTAGTTTCACTTTGAGCTTCCTGGTTCTAAGATAAAAGGAACTTAAGAAGGAAAGTCAGATTCCTTGGGCCTGTAAAGACTTGATTCTGTGTAGCCTCGTGGCTGCCAGCCAGCAGAAAGATTTACGGAGAATGTATTCAGACTCTTGGAGCTCCTGGTAGAGTCTTCTGGAATTACACAAGGATGAGCTGAACTAAATGCTCAATGGTAGCTTTCAATGTCATTCAACTTAGAAAGCTTCCTTTTGATTACATATATGAAGCCAAGTACATAAAATAAATTTACTGTTAAAATTTTTTTAAAAATCATAAGACTGGCAAGACAGTTTATTACTTTGGAGTAACTCATTAAATTATTACTTTTTAGCTATATAAATTTTTTTGGAATAAAATTGTCATGACTGAAAATAAGGGGACTGTGTAATGTTGGAGAGTCATTTTCAAATTGATAATGGGTTGATTTGCTACATGAGGTAATCAGGACAGGAATCAGGGTTGCACAGGCTGTTAGAGTTTTGATTTAATGTAAATAATATTTCAAACTGCATGCAAATGATGGCACAGATAGTTCTTAGATCGAGTGACTATCTTGCTACTACAACTATTCAAGGTCAGCTATGCAGTTAAAGGCTTGGATTCTTGCTTATTCTATTTCATGTTTGATTCTCTTTTTAATATTGAAATGATATTTCTACAATTGTACTCATTTGAGAACCTATTTTTGCTCCTGACGTGTCATATTGAACTCAGAAGAATGGTCAAACTTAAGTTTATCACGTAAGTTTTTGTTCCTAAAAGTTGGGCAAGCGATTTTTTAAATTATGCTTTTCCTCGCTCTTTTCCAGGGAACAAGAAGCAAAATTCCAAAAAAAGACTAGACGTCTAGCAAGAGCCACCAGAGCCACTGCCCCAGCAAAGGTGAGACTGTTTGGAGTCAGCCTGTACTGTTTGCTTTTGAGATGCTGTCGTACTCTATTTAGAGTTATCTGTTTATTTCTTAATTACTAGGTTATACCTGTTGTGAAGCCAGCTACTTAGAAGGGAGGGAATGTGGCTTAGTCCAAGGGTGGGCTAAGTATCTGGTACATCTTGTCCATAGGCCCAACCCATGACCCAACTCTGAAACTGAGAGATGCTCAGAGGTGGCGCAAGCCAGATGGTGTGATCTTTCCATGACCATTTATCTTACTTTCCATTTGTCTAGCTCCAGTAAAAACATTTCCAGACCTAGAGCTAAGACCAACCTTTAGAGTTCTCCTTGTCTATGTAATGTGGGCACTTTATACATCTCTGGGTGTCATGATTTTATTCCTGAGGTAGATATTAAGTAAGAAACCAAATTTTAAAGCAAGCCACAATGCCTAAGGTTCGTCAGCTGGTCTTTAACTCATTCTCCTTCCTTTATTTCTCCAGTGTTTTTTTCCAACTACTTATCTTTTCTACCATATGGAGTATTTTCTAATTCAACTGGAGTCTCTTACTTTTATTTATTGGCAACATAAGAGTCAAGTTAATAGTCTGCATGAGTTAAGTGTTCAACGATTAAAAGAAAACTAGTAAAGTAAAAGGATAGAAGAAACTGAATAGATATGGAACATTACACAGCCATTTTATTAAATATATTTTATTATAGAAAAACATAAAAATAAAATATATGCTCGTATTGATGGAAATACCAGTCAGAAAATTCCACAGTTAATTGACAAAAGTAGGTTTGATGCCAGCTATGCTGAACACCACTTGACATCAGCACCTGCTCTTCTATGTTTATTCTCTAATTTCTTTTCTCTTCCTCCTCTCCTGTCCCCGACATATAATTAAAATGATCAGTCAAGGTAGACACACCCTAATTACCTGTATCATCCCTGGTCTAGCCCAGCTACCATCGTCTTTGGCAGAATTACTCAGGAATGTCTGAGAACTTCAGCCTCTGCAATAAACATAGTCGGCTATATTCTTTAACTCAGTTCAGCCAGTCTCACTTTTAAAACAGTAACAGGTTAACCATGCAGCTGGGCAATACCTGGAAATCCATTATCTGTAACAAAAGGGATTGGTTTTTCTAAGTTATAAAATCTAGACCAGAAAGGTTTTGTGGTAATTTTGAAACCTGAATTTCTCCCTTACACCCAGAGCCAGGGCCATTTCTGTAAGAGTCACTCTTCTCCTGTCTCCTTCACAAAAACTTGATCAACCAATGGTGTTTAAAAATATAAAACACACAAAAAAAGCCACCCGAGCGGCTGGAGAAACAGATCAGCAGTTAAGAACACTGGTTGTTCTTGCAGAAGACTGGTGTTGGAATCCCAGTACCCACATGGCAGCTAACAACTGCCCCAAGGGATCCAACAGCCTCTTCTGACCTCCGCAGGCACTGCACAACACGGGTGCACTTACCTACATACAGGCAATACCTGCATACACATAAAATAAAAATAAATTTATTTTAAAAGCCATGTCTCCAGCCCCAAGATGATAAATATTCTTTGAAGAGTCAGAAAGTTAACAATTCAAGCACTGTCAAATGTTATAAAGAAAACTCTTAGTTGTCTCCCATATATGCTTCTTTGATTAGAAACCAAAAGTTGAAATGATGAAAAATTGACATCTCAGCAAATCCAAAGTAGGAGTAAAGGATTTGTTAAATTAATAGCGAACAAATAGCTATCCATTTGAAAGACATTTAAGAACAAATTATAGACATTTCATAATTTTAAAGTGCCAGTGCATCAGGAGATATAAAATTGCATTTATGTATATAAGTAGTAAAAAGTATTCACAGCCCATTCTTAATTCAAGTAGAAAAAGACAATGCCAAAAAGTAATTGGGTGCCCAACCAGGAGGAACACACCTTTAATCCCAACACTCAGGAGGCAGAAGCTGGAGGGTCTCTGTCTACACACTGAGTTCCAGACCAGCTGAGGCTATAGGGAGACCGTGTCTCAAAAAAAGTTAATCGGATATTTTACAATTCACAGTTAGTTTATGAAAACTAACAGAACCACTGGAAAAAAAATCGAATCAAAGGTATAGACTACTTAATGCTATCAACTAGCAAGGTACAAAATAAGATATAGCCAGAAGCTGCTGACAAGTATCCTTCATTATCAGGATAGAGAAATCAACAAAATTTTAGCAAGTGAAATCAACAACTTGGAAAAGATAAAACAAGTGGAAATTATCCTAAAAAATACAAAGCTCAGCTTACAACAGAAAATCTGCTCCTCTAATACACTGTTTAACAGAACAGAGTGCAAAACCACCATATAATAGGTGTTGAAAGAATAATTAACAAAATCTAATAGTCAAGATAATAATTTGATGCATGTGTTTCTAATCTGTCTGTATCTGATTATTACTAGTCATAATCAGTAAGTCTTTCTGTAAGAAACAGTATTATTTTAAAATGAAATGGGGATCGTTTTTAAAGGTTAAAAACTCATCCAATTTTATGTCTTACAGGGCTTATACTGAGTTCAATATTGTATAACTGTATTAATTCAAAAACGAACTTAAAAACTTTATAGCCACTTTTGAAAGAGATGTATCTTTACTTTGGATGCTGTTATTGAGTATGTTAAAGCTTTAATGAAATGCTTTGTCTAAAACATAAAAAAATACTTTATAAAAAAGATAATACTTTGCAAATATGGAAATATTCTCTGATAAAGGAAAGCAAGGAAAACTGCAGCTAACATTATACTTAATGGTCAGAGAGTGAATACTTTGGCCATAAGATTGAAAAGATCGGGGGTTGGAGAGATCGCTCAATAGTTAAGAGGACTGACTGCTCTTGCAGAGAGGTTCAGGTTTCAGTTCCCAGAAACCACATGGTGGCTAACAACTGTCCATAATTCCTGCTCTAGAGGGTCCGATGTCCTATTCTGTACTCCACAGGCATTGCAATACATGGGGACACTTACATACATGAGGGCAATACACTCATACACATAAAATTTTTAAAAATGTATTTTTTAAAATATTGAAGAGAACAAAAAGTTCCCTATTCTTAACATTTTTATTTAACCTTGAACTGGAGATTCTATTCATTATATGAAAGACTACTTCATTAAATTACAGTTATTGGAAAGAAAAGTTATCTGTAATTATAGAATTGTGAAATGACATACCAGCATATAAAGTCCTAAGTATTCTTAGAAGAGAAACCATTAGAATTAGCAAGACTTTCTAGCATCATTTCAAAGTACAAGACTAATAGTAAAGGTCAACTGTATTTCTTTATACTTGCAATGAATAATTCAGTAATTAATTTCATTCATAATAGTATAAAATATATAAAACATAAACACATGGCTTATATTAAAGCAAGATTGAGAGAAATGAAAGATTTAAACACAAGCGTTTACTGTACAATATTTAGGTAGAATGGGGGGCCTGAAAGATCACAATAGAATGGAAAACGTATCTATTCACATCAAACCATCGTGATGTCATAGCATGGAATATGATTTTGTGTAGTGATACTGCCATAAACAAACCTATTGTGTTGTTATTCATATAAAACTGTAGCTTACACAACTAATTTAATACTTGTTAAATAAATGTTTTTGGCTTGTGTATTTACTATGCTTTACTTTTCATAATTATTTTAGAGTATAGTCCTACTTGCACAAAATAGATTAGTGTAAAAAATGACGTTATGCAAGCATCAGACTCATACATTTAATTCATTATCTCTCTTAATTATGTCATCTTCTCATTGGCTTGATTTGATTTTTTAGGTTTTTTTTTGTTGTTGTTCATCATCATGGTACTGGAAGCAAGAGAGGTGTGTATGTGTGTGTGTGTGTGTGTGTGTGTGTTATTGATATATATGCTATATAGTACATATATGCCAGCTACAGAGTACATACATACATATGGAATGCATATATAGTATACAGTTCTGGTTTGGTTCTTGTTTGTTTGTTTATTTTTGAGACAGGATCTCCATATAGCTCCCGCTGTCCTTGAGCTTGATATATAGACCAGATTGGCCTTGATCTCACAGAGATCAGTCTTCTGCTTCTGTGTGCTGGGTTTAAGGACATGTGCCACTACAACTGGTTTTATATCGTATATAATTTTGCTTAGGTGTATAGTAGACCCTATCTAAGTTTGTATAATTATACTCTGAAGTTTTCACAATGATAAAATCACTTAAATGATGTATTTCTTGGTACTTGGTCTCATAATTAAGTGATATATCTGTAAAGTTGAGATACCCTGCCTCAATTTTGAAAAATAGCAATTCTTGGTGGTTTTTTTGTTTTTGTTTTTGTTTTTCTATGGCAGGATCTCCTAGTAGCCCCAGCTGACTGGCCTGGAACTCACTATGTAGACCAGACTGGCCTCAGACTCACAGAGATCTGCCTGCCTCTGCCTCCCAAGTGCTGGGATTAA